ATAGCCTTCTCCTTAGGGTCTTGTAACCCACCGCATTGAAATAGAGATAAGGGGTGATGTCATGGGTAGCTCTGGAAACAAAGGAACACTGAGGTAGGAAATTAGGTGATCTGGATTCTTGTCCCAAAGTTTTAAGTAATTAGAAATTTTACCTTTATAATTTTTTTCATAAAGTGAAATGGTGGCATTCTAGAATCCTGTAGTTCTGTGAATGATTATTGCCATGAAATATCTAGATGATTTGAAATATGGAAGCTGGGAATAACCATTGTATAATGTTGAAGTTCAAATTCTGTTTTGCCTTCCTAGGGAATGTAGAGAGCTTCATAACTTTCAATGCTGTGGTGTTTGTATTGCTGTATGTAACCATTCACTCATTTTAGCATAAAAGAAAGACTTCACAAAACTTCTTGGACAGGATCAAAGTTCAACTCAGGCAATCTCAAAGAGTGGCTATTAATTTACTTTCTATTTTTAACTACACTTCATTTCAGAGAATAATGTTTTCCTCTACATTTGAGTGGGGTTATAGAAACAGAATTTAGTAATGAAAACACACTTCTCAAAAGCCTTGCCTAACTGTAATGAGTACCTACCCTACAGAGTTTGCTTAAATTCAAAATGTGGAACTCTGAGGATGTAAAATTTTCATCTGTTGTTAATTATTGCTGTATGTATTCAATTTTCTGAAGTCAGATGGTTTGTGTTAGGGCACTGCATTTTCAAGTCCAGTAAATATTTGTATGCACAGCCCCCAAATGTGTGCAATAAACAGAATGATTTTCAACTTCCTGTAAATTAACTTTATTTTGAATTTGAAAATGCTTGAGGAGGAAGAAAACATCTAGGCAAAACATTGAGGTTACATTTGTACTCACTTTCCTTAGGATTTACCTTAGTGAAGATGACAATATTGCATATGAGGTCAGTATATGAAACTAGAGTCTTTGTTTGGGTAAAATTTTCATCAGTTTTGGGCAACTTGCTAATTAGAATGTGAGAAATATATCTAGAAGTGAGTCCAGCTCAACTGTATTAGTTCGGCAGGCCATTGTATCTTAATGAAAAATGAACAAAATATGTAATTTTTGACATCTAAGATATTTTATCTCTAGTTATGAATTTCTTTGGAAAATTTATTAAATTTTTGGGATGATATATATTGTATTAAATTGGGAGCTCTCAACAGACCCAAATGTATAATGCGTAGTTATCTATCTTCTATTTTTTTGTTATTCTAACTCTTCTCAAATCTTTTAAAAAACATCACTATTAGGTGGGTCTCATAGATTTTAAGGAAAATCTAGGGGAAAGCTATGATTTTTAGGGAATTAGAAAATGCAAGTATTTAAAAAAATTAAAGAAATTGTCATTAAGTAAGAGTTTAATATAAATAGGAGCGAATTCCAAGAGCAGAGAAATGAGGAAGAACCAGTCATTTACTATAGCAATGGGAACAAAAATAGAAAATGAAAAGCTTTTTATGCCTTCAAGTAGTATTGAGAGCAATGTGGTCAGTAAGAAGATTAGGTCTGAACGAGTTTCATTGGATACATCAGGTCTCAGCTGAAACTTTTAGCTGGAGCCTCCGAAGACCTAAGCTTGTGAGGGATGAGGAAGTGATGGATACAGGAAGTGTGTCAGAACCTAGGGAACTGATTAGAATGTAAAGCAGAGTGAAAATGTGTGGATCGAGTGGTACACTTACTGGTGAGGGTTGGAGGGAAGAATGAAAAGTAGCTTTGGGCAAGTGCCTATGGAAAAGGCCATTTTATTAGGGCCTTGAAAGATGAATTGTAAATGATTAACGTAAGTAAATTAAAAACAGTAACAGTGACAGAAACTAAACTTTGAACATGTCAAGCAGGTAAGCTCTTTTATATGTATTATCTCTTAAGTCTTTCAAAATCTTCATGAGGTTATCAGTATTTTTTTTTTTTTATTTGTACCAGGGATTATACTCATGACCTTACACTTGCCAGGCAGGCACTTGTGCCACTGAGCTAAACCCCTGGCCCTCAAATCTTCATGAAGTACATATAAATTGTCCCCATTTCAAAAGACGAATTGGGGTAAGTGTAATATAACCAATATCACACAAATGCATTTAAATTCAGGTGTTTTATTTTAAGGTTATTATCCTACCAAGAGAGAAAAGCAGTCTAAAAGAAGGAGACAGAAGCAAGGAGTTACATGAACATTCATGGAGAAAAGTCTTTGTATGGCCTAAGCAGAGGGCATTTAGGGCAGTAATGGAAGAAAAAGCTAAAAATGAAGTTAGAAGGTGCTGGGGATGTGGCTCAGCGGTAGACCGTATGCTTAGCATGTATTAGCTTGGGGCTAGAGCTAGATGACAGAGCCCTGTCTTTCATTCCAAGGATTATTTTTTTTCTAGGCAGGGTAGAGACATTGTGAGTTTTGCTTTAGGAGGGTATTGAGTGTCAGATTTAGGTTTGAAAGGAATTTGAAAAGTGCATTTAAGAACAGAGAGTTTGGAGGAAAGGTAGCATTTACGAAAATACAGTAGCCCATACATTTGGTGATGGGGGAGAAAGCCAAATCAAGGATAGTGGGAATGTAGAAGGCATTTATAGGAGACATTGAAGACAGTGGGACTGGCTGAATATTGTAACTACATGCAGAGAGGAATGAGGGAGAGAGTTTTAGACTCTGTACTGTTTGGCATATAGTTGGCCATTGACACAAGGGTGACAGGAACAAGAACCTGGGAGAAAGCTGCTATGTGAGGCTTGAAGCATAGTAATTTTGGAACAAATATCCAGATAGAGATGCCCATTGGGAATTTGGACAGGGTGAAAAATTCAGTGGACTCAATATAGATGTGAGACTTGAAACCATGGGAAAAATGTGGACGAATGCAAGGAAGACCAAGATCCTTTAAAGGAACAGGGTAAAACAAGAAGAAAAGGGGAAAACTTATAAGAGCCAACCAGATGCTTTCATGCCACAGCAGGAAAGACCTTTCCCACTTCATTCTGAGTTCACCAATACCTGTGAGCAGTGACAACGTGTTGGTTGATCCCTTGGCTGCAGTTGTGCTTTGTGTGCAATGGGAACGCTACAGGTCCTTGTGGGATTGAGTGGCATGTGTCTCTGCTGGGGAACCAACAACACAGTGGGCTTTCTGGAGAGATCCATACTCTTCTGTGTCCGCTGAGGCTTGGCCCCTTCAATAGGTAACGTTTTGGTGGCACAGAAAAGGGCAAATTACCCACATGGCAAATTCCGTATTTTTCTTATATTTTGGAATATTTTATTTTGTGTGTGTGTGTGTAACGGTAGGGATTAACAAGCCTGGGAGAACAAGCAAATCAAGACAGAAAGTGTAAACATGACTGATTATAGCTCCTGATTTTAGAAAAAGAAACACATAAAGGACATGGAAAGGCAGGTGGAGAGATGGATACAATGGATTTAGAGTGGACCAGTGGCTGAGAAGGTCATTCTGTTTCTTTAGGTATAAATTGGAGACTGTGTTGTTATTTTCAATAAGTTTACTTGAGAATTGTACTGTGTGTGTAAGATCCCTGGGGGAGTATGTACAGAAAAACTTGGCAATGATGCTTTTAAAATGGCCTTCCTGTTGCTGGAAATCATTATAGATGTATTTGGGTTAGAGAGCTCCCAACGATATGGTAAACAGCTTTTCAATGTGATATTTCTAAATTTAATGAGCAATTAGGGAGGTCTGAAACAATCCACCAGGCTCCTGTAGCTCCAGACCCCATGGAGAGTTAAGCTGATGGGTAGAATGGAATATTACTTAACCTCAGGATAAGGGTTGAAGGGTTGGATTTGGGAAATGTGTTGAGTGTTGCATCATGGGAGACAAGGGCAGAGAATAGATCTGTGTTTCATTTTCTGTTTTCTGCTCATGATGGTTTGATAACAGTATGGCATAAATCCAAGTATTGCAGACACTGGCTGTGATGGACTTTCAGTCATTTTTTTCCCAAGGCAAGTGACAATGTCATTGATTAGGAGCAGTTCATTTATGGTTAGGATTGTCAGATAAAACACAAGATGCCCAGTTCAATTTGAACTTCAGGAAAATACCAAAAATTTTATTTTAGTATAAATTAAATTTGCAGTATGTAACATTAAGTCATTCTTATACATTCTTACCTAAAGTTCAGATTTAGCTGTTTTTCTTTGCTAAATCTGACCATGCTAGTTTAGACAGAATCTCGTGGCTGAGAAGTTGCTTCTCTTTTTCCTTAGTAAAAGTCAGGATCCGATTAAGAGTGACAGGAAAACTAATTTCACTTTAAGCATCTGGATGGACCTTGGAAAACTTCTGTGTGCCAGGTGGTAGTGGTGAGAACTGTGAATAAGAGCTGGCAGGTTTGAAGATGCTCACGATACTCCTGGCTTGACTTCTGTAGCCAGTAAGATTGTGATAGAATATAACTAATCAAACTTATCATTGTAATATTTTTAAGTATAATACTGGCAGTAGGTAGATACACAATGTTGTACAACCAGCATCACTTTCCATTCCATTTTCCTACCTCCCCAAACAGACACTCTGTGCTAATTAAGTCATGATTCCTCTCTCTCTTCCCCTTGTGACTCTGACAGCCACCACTCTGTATTCTGTCTCTGTGAATTTGACTACTCTGTGTACCTCCTATGAGGGAAATTGCACAATATTTGTCATTTTATGTCTGTTTTTTTGGTTTGTTTTACTTAGTGTAATGTTTTCAAGGTGTATTCATATTGTAGAAAGTGCCAGGATTTTATTCCTTTTTTGAGGCTGAATAATTCAATTGCATGTGTATGCCATATTTTGTCTATTTGTTCATCTGCCCATGATCATTTAGGTCATACAGTGTTTTAACAACTGTGAATGATGCTGCTATGAACTTTGATGTATTAATATTGTGACATTTCTGGACCACATGGTAATTCTGTTTTATTTTATTTATTACTTTGAATATAATGTGTTTTTTCTTTTGTACAAATCCATTTTACTCAAGGATAAAAAGAAAGAAAAAAGAAGAAGGAGAAGAAGAGGAGGAGAAGAGAAGAATAAGAAATGAAGAAGAAGAAGAAGAAGAAGAAGAAGAAGAAGAAGAAGAAGAAGAAGAAGAAGAAGAAATTATAACAATTTCAAAACCTGACAATCTATCTTTTATTTTTTTCAAGAAATATTGTGTTGTCTTCTATATCAGCTATTTCATTTTGGAAGCCCTTCAGCAGTGCACAAGCATTCCAGTGTTTCTATGTCCTCCTCACCAATTGTTGTTTTCTATTTTCTTGATAATAGCGATCCTTATGGGTGTGGGGTGGGGCATGATTTGTAAGGATGATTTGTTATTTCTGCTGCTTGTTTAAACAAGACTATTTCTTTTTTTTTCTGACTCTGGAACCACAGTGGACTTTAGGAATGATATAAAACCATCTACTGCATGTCTATAAGATTAGATTATGGACTTCTCAGTGGAGCTTTTCAATTGACTCTGAAGGGATTGTCATAAAGAAGAGTTCTAGGAAAGTTCTAAACAATGTCAGCATTGTTGGACTAAGCGCACACTCCTTTTGTCTCTACTGGATTCAGTGTGATTTTATGCAAGTTCTGGTTTGCTTGCTGCAACGTGTACTCAAACACATGAAATGTGATTTTGTAATCACATCTCATGGTTTTATACTAAGGAGTCTGAATAGATGTTTGGACTCTAGACCTAGTGTTTTCCTAGGTCCTGGATTAGTTCCAAAGGTATTATGAATTTGTTGGCAATATCAGAGACAAGAGTGAGCTGAATTCAAGTTTGGGACAGAATTTGTTTCCTCTCACATTTAATTATTAACTGACTTTCAGAAAATAGATGGTGGCTGTTCCTATGGCAACAGAAGCCTTAGAGCAAAAAAAAATATTCAACAGCCTGACATTTTTAGCCAATTCCATACTGAGCCAAATGCTGGTTGGAAAGAACCAAGAATCAGGGCCAAATATACTGTTTCTGGCAGCAGATTTTCCTTTTTAGCTCCTCGTTCTTCATTGTTCCTCAAAAGAAATCATTCTAGTGCAATCCTGTAGATCTTGGCTCCCCGGTCCCCTTCCCCAAAGTCTTGGTGTATGTGTATGTCTTCCTACATGTATTCCTCTTCCATCTGTCTAACTCGTCTCTGTCTAACTCTAGATTTATGTTCCTCATAGTTGTCAGTGAATCATGGAAAATATACTTTTAGCTCAAAAGTGAAAAATGCCATTGGAATAAAAAGATTCAATTATTAAATGTCCATTGAGCAGGGTGTTTTCTATTGCTTGTTAGACAGAAGTCACATTTCCTGGTTGTTCTTTGCTTATTAGCTACATTTAAAGATGTTTTTCCTAAGTGAACACTCATGATTCTGTTTGCTTCATTTTCATTGGTACTAATGGTGTTTTGCATCATTTATTTGGAAGTGCACAATTTGAGCAGCCTCCTTGCAGATTCCTCAGTTGGAAATGTCATGTTATTTTTACTACAATCAGTCCTACTGAATACATTCAATGTTATTTACATTACATGTGAAGTTGGACACCTGGTTTGCTTTCTGTTTTAAAGGTCATATGCACACAATAATAAGAACTGAATGTTCAGCATGCGTGGACCCTTGTCAGAATTGATCTGGTGTATCAGAGTATGAAGGAAAACCAACAGGCATTTTTTAATTACTCATACATGGTGGTCAACAGCATTAATTAATCTAGGAATACTAATTCTCCAGCATCTACAGGGGTAGTATATGAGTTTTTCTTGAGGTCATGCATAAAATAGGATTGAAAAAAATTGTGAATATTTACATTTAAAAAATATTACAATAAAAGTCACATTGCCATTCATTACCCTCAAAATATTCCCCTTCCTTTGAATATACTTATGCCATGTTCTTGCCACTTTCTGAGGTGATTCTGGAAGTCCTCTTCTGTAAGTGTCTTTAGTTGTGCTGTTATAGCTGTTTCAATGTCTTGAATTGAATCAAAACATTTACCGGATTATTTTGACTTTAGGGAAGAGCCAGAAGTCCCATGGTGCCAGATCCAGGGAATGAGGTAAATGACAACATATTGTAATGTTTTAAGACTCTCCTTTTCTGTTGGATGGCACTTAGCAGCTGTATTCACTCTATTGTTTTTATTACACTTCCTAAAGACACTCATGAAAGAGAACTCTAGAAATGCTTCATAAAGTGGCAAAAATGATGGGATCAGTGTACTTGAAGTGAAGGGGAGTATTCTGAAGGGGATTAAAGCAATGTATTTTTTATTGTAAATATTTGTTAAAAATTTGAAGATCCCAAAGGGTCTACCTTCTGCCATCTGAAAAGCCTCTGACACATGTTGTATTTTTTCTGTCCTTGGTCACCCATCACTGAGGGACTAGTTAGCCTGCTTGGACGACTCCAGGCCATGGAGTTACTGGGATGAAAAAACAGATCCCAGTTTTGAAAAACGAATTTTGTTTTTAATGAGAAAACAGATCCTAGTTCTAAAACACAAACTTTATTAAATTTTCCAGACATGTGAACCCTGCATGTGGGTGTACAGTCTCTTTAGGTTCTGCTTGAGTAGATCTTACACACATTAGGGAAGCACATATGATTCAGATTATAAGTGATGACAAGGATCCTGCCTTAACACACTCAGCCTTCCATTGGTCTTGGATTAAGGCTGATTTACTTTTGTTCTAACATTCCCGACCTTGTCTCCAACAGTAAGTTTTCTCAAAGTGTATCTTTTGGGGACTTTTCAGTACTACGTGCATATGCTGATGTGATTTAACTAATGAGATTGTTGGAATTATATCCTTGATGCTTTATGGATACTTGATGGAAAATGAGTGAAAACAGGCCCTCCTATCTTCTTTTGGTCTCTTGTAATATATGTATTACTGCCTCAGGCACTGTTAGACATTTCACCCAAGGCTCTGACAAGATGGCACCTAGATCCTCACTGCTGACTTATGAAGAACCTGTGGCTCAGATTGGTCTTAGGACCTGTCTGGCTCACAGAGACACTGATGGTATGGGGAAGTCATAGCCTGCTCTACCTGTTACCCCCCAGGCCCCACCCCAGCCTCTTTCTCCACACGGGCTGCATGGTTGCTCAAGCCTGTCCTCCTATGCCCACTTGACCTCTAAGATGAGCCTTGACAATAGACCTGGGGCTCAGCCAGGTTCTCTCTGAGAACCCAGGTATCGCTGCCATTGAAGTAGAAAACCCTCACAATCAGTGGGACCCAGAGGATCTTCCCTTTCACATCCTGCTCTATGTATGACTGAGCAATGATGACAAAGTTAGTCTTCTGTAACCAGGTGAAAACCGGAGGAACCAAATGCTTCAAACCTTCTTGGTATAAAGGCTCCCTATGACGCTCAGGCTGGACTTGAATGCTTGGGTTCACATGATCCTTTAGTCTCAGCCTCTCACCTTCTGGGACTACAGGTGTACGCCACCCAGCTGGCTTTCTTCATTCTTCATTTTCCTGTATCACAGACTATTAACAGAACTTAAAAACTTTTTTGTAATGTTGACCAAATGAGAATGTAGTAAAACAATTTTGAAAAATAAGAATATTTTGGCTTACTAGACATAAAAGAAACCCATAAAGCTAGAAAATGAAACAATATTGGTACAATTTTAGATGGCAATTTGGTAATGTTCAAAATTGACAACAAACAGGGATTTAATTTATAAGAATGAAATCTTTCCTAAGTGGTGGTGCACACCTATACTCCAAGCATTTGAGAGGCTGAGGCAGAAGGATTGCCGTGAGCTCAAGGCCAGGATTTTATGTATACATAAAAAGACCCTGTCTTAAAAATGGAATGGGATCCTTAAATTCTGTTCTAGGGAGCTTCTATTGTATAGAAACATTAAAACTGTGCTAAGACACATGTGCCAGGATGGTCACTGCAGCACTATTTATACGAGTTTAAAAGTATGGTAGAGGTTACATTAATGAGGATGACAGCTTTCCAGAGGATAAAGGAATGAAGTAGACCCCAATGTGCTGGCTAAGAAAGTCTAAGTAAAGTGGGAATGCAGGCATGAAAAAGTGGGTCACACAGAACTATATTTCATGCCTCAGTTATAAATACATTGGAAAATATTTGGAAGAATACACAGAAACTATTTTCAGTGATTAACTTTAAATCTAGAGAAAGAGCCAAATGTGTGTTTTTCAGTTTCTGCTTAATGTACTTCAGTGTGGTTTTAATCTTTCATTAAGGATATATTTGTATATTAACTGTATGTTTTAATAAAAGATAACACAGGTAAAACAGAAATCTGGTGATTTGGGAAACAAGAACAGACTAGTTAAAGGTGATCTAGGGTTTCCCCTATACATGAAATGACATGAAATCTAATGGATTAGATAAACTCCCCTTGCATCATTGACATGGGCTACTCATTTGAGGGTAAAACACCCCTGGGGCTTCATTTATTTTCGTGATCAAACAGATTAGTACTCTGAAGAGTTAAGGAGTATGTTTATTTTCATCACATTAAATGCAGTCAGTAGCTATTACCAAAGAAGTATTAGTTAATACACTGAAAAAAGAAAAATAATAGACTGAAATCACAATAACCTCTCTTAGAAGTAAGGAATTCGGTATTCGTTTGGAAAGTATTCAGTGGTTAAGCAACAGTGCAATTGGGTAAAATCTGCTACCATTATAATAAGAATACTGTTTTATCAAGAAGAAAAATGGAAAATGAGGGAGATGACCTATTTTTAATTTAAAATGTGACTTAAGTTTCTTGTAAAAATTGTGAACATTATAGACAGTTGCAGCTATCTCCCTTTTCCCCCTGCTTCTAATTCCACTCACCTCCCTTTGGGTCACATTGTTAGAGTTTGGTGTACAGGCCTTAGACGGTTCTGTGAACATTCAGGCTGACATGTACAGGGGTAAGCACACAGAAGCACACACATGCAAAATGAAAAATATGTAAAACTGAAAAAATGCCTAAATGCCACTTCATGATTTTATCCTTATGGATCTTGACAGGGATTAAATGGAATGCAGAGAGCTGCCTTAACTCTTTTTGAAAATTTTCTTTGCATTTTTTTAATGGAACATTCTGTAGCTACTATAGAGAAAAGGATACAATAGATCTTCTGGTGTTTTCCACAAAACACTTACTTCCACAAAACACACCCCTGAGTGGCAAGGAAAGATTTGGATGTAGAGTTACTACAAATAAAATAGAGGGCTATTTTGATTGGGTAATTTTTAGTATAGTGAGTTTAAGAATTTGCGTTCTAAAAATTTGGTTTTGAATATGGGTTTTTACTCTTTAAGAATTCGGGAAATTACTTAACTGTTTAAAACCTTAGTTTATTTCTTTTATAAAATGAGAGCAGAATAATAGTGCTTACGTAATGGGATAGCTCAAGGACTAAATGTGACAATGTTTACAAAATACTTATCGTGTTGCGAGCCATGCAGTGGTTGCTCACTCCTGCCAGCTATCATTACTATTTTAGATCTTTATTTTATTTCGATTTCAGGTCAGTTTTGAATGCTTCTAATCCTTCTCTAGTTCTTCTGAAAATTGCATTTCCAAAATTTTGACTTACTTGCTTTTATTTTTGATCCAAGTCTTTACACATACATTTTCTATTTTCAGTCTATCATCTCTGCTTCCACATGCCAAGCCTCCTACAGGGTGTTCTGGAAATGAACCAAGAACAATCCCAAATGCCTCACGTGCAGATTCTTGGGCTTTTCCTTATATTGAGTTACGGCTGATCATTTTTTGCCCTCTTTTTTTTCTTTTGGTTCATTTTTTAAACAACTTTATCTCTTGGTTTTTTTTTTTTTTACTTTTAAAAACATTTTTATTTAAAGAGAAAAAAGCAAAACAGAAAAAAGGGTACAAATGATACAGAATTAAAAAAAATTCTTGGTTGTTTTAATGGTCTAAATTTCTAATTATTTTGAGGAATTTCTTTGCTTTGGGTCTTGTAAGGACTTGACTGCTTTTTGCTTGCATCAAATAGCTGAGTCTTGATTCTGTCAGCCATGTGAAACTGTCATATATGAATTTGGTGTTATGTCAGGTAACATCTGAGTTGTACTTCATTGATTTATATGTTTACAATTAAGCATCATTGAATTGTATCAAATATAGTAGAGTTGGTCCCTCTCTATGTGAACTGCAAAGTCTATCAGGGACCATTTGTACACATGAAAGGATGAGTTACTTATGTAGCAGCACTCTTCTGGGGATGCACTGTGTCAGGGACCT